GAAGTGAGATATCACCCCTCAGTGGGGTTGGCCATGCTGCAATCTCTTTTCCTCCATTCTCCACTCAGGATTTTGGGCATGCACATGCACCCATCCCGCATGCTCTTTTTACAAGCTCTTGGGTTTGGAACTCAATCACGCGATCAACCATATGGGATCCAGCCACCTCAACTAGCATGCCACCAATTCTCCCATAGACAGCTCTTTAGCACTGTGCTTAGGACCATTTTAAATAGTGAGATCACCAACAAAAAGTACAAAAAAAAAAAAAAAAAGTGGCACAAAATACCTCATAAAAAAGACACTTGTTTACAGTGTGAAAGCTGAAACAAGAAGACAGAACATCACTTTGTTTGACCTCAGCTAGAAACAGACTTATCAGGTGACTCTGTGTTTATGCTGCTGGGCTTGTGCCACAAATATTGACTTTGGGATTAAAAAGAAATTTTAGATAACCAGCAAATTTGCAAATCATACACAACTGTGAATAATAATGAAGATCAACTGTGGGACCAGCAGTTAGTGTAATGTCTATGTCGCTGGACTCCCACATAGTCGACCGTGGTTCAAGTCCTGCACCTGGTGGCTTAAACTCACGCCAGGTGCGTGTGCGTGCGTGCCCAAGATCCCGAGAGGAGAACGGAGGAGAAGGGATTGTGGCATGGCTGTCCCCCCTGGGGGATGGTTTTTCGCTTTCTGTCTCTCTGTCTCTCTTTGTCTTTCTGTTTCTGGCGAGCGCATGTGCCCTATAGCAAAAACCTCTCAAAAAAAAGATGAACTGTAATATAGTATTTAGCACAGTGCAGATAATTAAGAGCCAGTAACTTTGTTGAACTTCAGAGTGACATCTCCTGGGAAAATATGGGCAAATCTGAAGTGCACGCAAGTTTTCTGTGTATTTATTTCCATTTTAAAAAAATTGCAAGATATTGGTTCAGATGTGGTGGCATGTGCTGCTATGATACTGTGCTCATAGGATACTGTCCCCTAGGATAGGACCTCATGGGAGGCCCAGGTTCAATTCCAGGTCCAACCTAAAGGTCCACATGTTGGCATGTGCCTGTAATTTCAGTTACTCAGAGAGGCTGAGGAAGTAGAATTTGTTTGTGTTTGTAAATAATTATTTTTTATTTAATTTCATTTATTATCATCATTATGATTATTATATTAATTTGACCAGAGAGAGGGAGGGAAAGTGAGAAAGCAAGCCATCAGGGCCGGGACTCAAACCACAGTTGACCATGTGGGAGTCCAGCACCTTTTACTACCATGCCACCAGCTGGCCCCTGTCTTTTATTTTTATTTTTTGAGAGATTTTTGCTATAGGGCGTGTGCGCTTGCCAGACAGACAGAGAGAGACATAGAGACAGAAAGCGAGAAATCACCCCCCAGGGGGTATGGTCACACAGCAATCCCTTCTCCTCCATTCTCCTCTCAGGATCTTGGGCATGCACGCACATGTGCCCGGCGTGAGTTCTAAGCCACCGGGTCCGGGATGCGAACCATGGCCGACTTCGTGGGAATCCAGCGACATAGCCATTACTCTAACTGCTGGTTCCCGCCCCTGTTTGTTTTTTATGAGAGATTTTTGCCATAGGGAGCTTGTGCTTAATGGAGAGACAGAGAGACAGATAAATAAAATTAAATAGAACAGCCATTAACCCAGTGAGAACTAGTGTCATAAGCACCTCGGAAGCCTCCCATGTACAAACTTTTAAGAACGGTATACATCTCAGGGCCAGCAGATGGCATAGTGGTTATACTGTTGGGCTCCCACATGGCCAACCATGGTTTGGGTCCTGGGCCCTGTGACTTTAAAATCATGCCCAGTGTGTATGTGTATGTACCCAAGATCCCAGGTCGAGAATAGAGGAGAAAGGATTGAGGCATGACCATCCTCCATGGGGGGTGATTTCTTATTTTCCCTCTCTCTGTCTCTTTCTCTCTCTCTCTCTGGCAAGCACACATGCCCTGTGGCAAAAACTTCTTAAAAAAAAAATAAAGGTATACATCTAGTATCCCTTTTTTCTTTTAGGATTATACTTTTGTCATGTTTTCTTCCAGGGCTTAGGCTAGGTAGAACTTGCATCTTAACTGGGTAGTCCCATTATTTGTGTTTTTTTTTTTTTTTTTTTTTTTTCGTAGAGGTGCTCAGCACAGTGGACTTTGTCGCTCCTGATGATCGAGTCGTCTTCCGAACCTGCGAAAGAGAACAGAACAGGGTGGTCTTCCAGATGGTAAGAGACCTCATTGTTGAATGCCCTCTTGAGGCTGCCCTGTCCCCTGGGATTCCTCAACTCGTACTCTTTGCGGGACCAGCACTAAATGCATGGGCTACATTGAACAGAAGTGGCTTTCTGAAAACTCTGCTGTGACATTTTTCATGGATCACCCTTGAGTGATTTTGTTGTTGGAGACAATTTATGGAAATCAAACTGTCGCAATTTATAATTGTTGTGTCTTTAGTCTCAAATTTAGTTTACTCAGCTGTAGGGACTATCTATTTGGCATTCACTTTTTTTTTTAATCCCTAGTGTTCGTTATTCAGATCATAGTCTTTGTTTTTGTATAGTCTGTTACCCATAGAAAGAAATTTAATTTTCCCCAAAAGCAGTTAAGATGTATGTTGGGAGTGCTGGCAGGTGGTGTGGTGGTTAAGGGCGCTGAACTCCCACATGGCTGACTGCGGCTCAAGTCCCAGACCTAGTGGCCTGCTTTCTCACTTTCTCTCTTTCACTCTGTCCCTCTCTGGTCAAATTAAAATAAATAAATAAATAAAGTTAAATAATTAAAAAAAAAAAAGATATATGCTGGGATTATAATGACTCTGTAGCTCTCTTCTCTCTCTCTTTTAAGTTGATTGTTTATGTGGGTGAGAGAGAGAAGCCCTAACAGGGTCTTGGGATCATGATCTACTGGATCATAAGCAAGCATGTGCCTGGCATATTCAGGGAAGTCTTCAGACTTGAGCTGGGGACCTTCCCATGTGGCTTGCTTCACAGAGAATTGCATTTTACTGTTGTGCCACTGTCTGTCCCCAAGTAGCTCTTTTGTCCTGCTTTGGTCATTTCTTGGTGCTTTTTCAGAACTAGCTCCTGAATGATATTTAAGTTAAAAAAAATAGATAACAATGGATAGATATGTGATAAAGCAAACAGCAAAATGTTAATTGTACAGTCTTAAGTGGTGGGTGTCCAAATGTTTACTATAGAAATTTTCAACATTTTTGTGTGTTGAAAATAATTGCAACAGCGATGATATTTTCTAGGCCCTCCAATTCCACTTTTTTTTTTTCTTCCCGTGAACTAGTACAGCAGACAGGTTGTTAAAAGAAAGCCAGCCCAACTCTGCTTGCTGAGTGTGTGTGTGTGTGTGTGTGTGTGTGTGTGATGCACAAGGGTGTTTGTGTGTGCATGTGTACCTGTTTCAGGGCAGTGGTTGATGCAGCCTCTTGTGTTCCTAGGGGACTTCAGACGCAGAACGAGCCCTTGCTGTGGCCAGGCTTGTGTAAGTTCCTCCTTCTTTGGGACTACCTTTGTTTCTCCTATGAGCTGTGAAGCTTTAATATCATTAGTGACGTTGGACCTGACTGGCCCTTCTGCCTCTTGGCTCATTACGTTTTGTTTCCAGGGTAAGAGTGTCTTGTTTCCTTTTCTGTAGCATCTGAGGGTTGGCCTAGAACTTATGCATACCCACTATGCCCAGATCCCAGAGACATTCTATGTGGGGGCATAGTTTTTAGTGTTTATTTATGAGACTCCCAGGAACTCTCATGACCGTGAGTCCTGAGGCTTAACTCTCATGAGGTGTAGGTCAGACTTACTGCTTCCTAAATTAACAAAGGCAGGAGAGTACTATGGTTAAAGTGAAAGGCTTTGGTGTTAAAACAACCTGGATTGTAATTCTGGATTTGCTGCAGGTTGAACATTCCTAATCTCATCCAAAATTCGAAATGCTTCAAAGTCTGAAACTTTCTGAGCACTGACATGACTCCACGAGTGGAAAGTTCCACATCTGACTTTATGTGGTGGGTCTCAGTCAAAATACTGCAATACTGGAGCCAGCAGGTGGTATAGTGGTTAAGGTGCTGGACTCCTCCTTGGCCAACTACTGTGTGTGTTCTGATCCTGGTGATTTGAAAATCATGCTGGGTGCATGTGTGTACGTGCCCAAAATCCTGAGAAGAGAATGAAGGAGAAGGGATTACAACATAGCCATTCCCTGGGGGTGTGTGATTTCTCACTTTCTCTCTGTTTTCTCCAGTGAACGCACACACCCTATAAGCAAAAATCTCTCTCTCTAAAACAAATAAAATAAAATAAAATGCTGCAATACAAAATAGTGTATAAAATTACATGCAAACTGCATATAAGGGGAAGGTGGAACATAAAGGAATTTTGTGTTTAGATTTGGGTCTTGTCCTCAAGATATCTTATTATGTATATATAAATTTCAACACGCATAAAAATCTGAAATCTCTGGGAACCAGCAGTTAGTATAATGGCTATGTCGCTGGACTCCCACGTAGTCGACCGCTGTTTGTGTCCCAGACCCGGTGGTTTAGAACTCACGCCAGGCGCATGTGCATGTGTGCCCAAGGTCCCGAGAGGAGAATGGAGGAGAAGGGATTGCGGCGTGACCATCCCCCCTGGGGGGTGATTTCTTGCTTTCTGTCTCTATGTCTTTCTCTGTCTGTCTGGCGAGCATACACGCCCTATAGCGAAAACCTCTCACAAAAAAAAAAGAAAAAAAAAATCTGAAATCTAAACATTGCTGGTCCCAAGCATTTTGGATAAGGGAGGCTCAACCTGAACTTGCTGTGTGACCTTAGGTTAATTGCTTAACCTCTCTGAGACCTTAGTTCCCTCAGCCATAAAATGATGCCATTTTATAGTACTACCAACTTCTGGCATTATTATAGGGAAGAGTAAATAAAATAATGCATATATATGTCTTTGTAGTATGTGGCACATAGTAAGTGCCTAGTGGTAGTTATTGTTATAAATTACAATGAGTGTAGGAAGAAACTCAGGCAATAATTGCTGCTGATAACAGACTGACTATGCATATACCAAAGGATGAAGTGAGGATCTTTTTAACATCTGAGAATTGTATAGAGTAAGTCAACCATGTGGCCCTTCAAACCAAAGCAGACCTATATCTTCTTTTTTTCCTTTCACATTGTATTTATTATTATTATTTTAGAGGAATATTTGCTATAGGGCACTTGTGCTTGCTGGAGAGACAGAAAGCCAGACAGAGAGACAGAAAGTGAGAAATTACCCTCCAGGGGGGATGGCCACACCACAATCCCTTCTCCTCTATTTTCCTCTCAGGATTTTGGACACACAAACACATGCGCCCAGCGTGAGTTTTAAGCTGCTCGGTCTGGTGCTTGAACTGTGGTCGACTCTATAGGAATCTAGTAACCATCCATCTGCTAGTCCCAATTATTATTTTTTAATTTGCTATAAGGCACATGTACTCAAGAGAGAAAGAGAGAGAAAGAGAGGAGAGAGAGAAAATGAGAAAGCAAGCTGCCAGGTCTGGGACTTGAACAGTGGTCAACCATGTGGGAGTCTAGTGCCTTTACCAACATGCTGCCTACTGACCTGGAGACCTATACCTTCTACAAGCTATGGTGCTCTAGGAAAAGGCTTTGTGCTCATGTCACTTTGATACATTGACAAATGGCTTTCAGTATCTCAGTCAAAACTGCAGCTCTGAGGGGACCAGCAGTTAGCGTAATGGCTATGTCGCTGGACTTCCATGTAGTCGACCGCGGTTCGCGTCCCGGACCCAGTGGCTTAAAACTCACACCGGGCGCGTGTGCGTGCGTGCCCAAGATCCTGAGAGGAGAATGGAGGAGAAGGGATTGCAGCGTGACCATCCCCCCTGGGGGGTGATTTCTCGCTTTCTGTCTCTCTGTCTCTGTCTGTCTGGCGAGCACATGTACCCTATAGCTAAAAACCTCTCCAAAAACCCCCCCAAAAAACAAAAAAACTGCAGCTCTGGGATCAAGTCTGGTATGTCTATCACCTGGTATTTGAGTTATCCCATATAATTCCAGAATAGTGCAGTCTCCCACATCCAGCTCTTTGCAGCTGTGTGTACACATCTGGCATTCCCAGAGGAGGCAGTTACACATTTTCGGGATGGAGTGCTTTATTTTTCAGCTTCTGTCATCAAGAGTTGGTGTGTTTCTTAGGCCCAGGGACATAGTAAGGGATTCATGAGCACAGACTCATTCATGCCTTTGACTGCCTTCTTTCCTCCTGTTAAATATTTATTATTTTTTCCTTCATGTTTTTCCAGAGAAAATGATGTAGCTGGTATTGACATCAACATGGGCTGTCCAAAAGAATATTCCACCAAGGTAAACTGCTTTCTTTGTACTCCTCACAAATCTAGGAGGCAGATTAGAGGCTAATGAGACATGCCAAATACAATACCTGACTCTGGACTGGATCCTATAATGGATGAGAAAAATGCTTGAAAGAACAGTATTTGGTCAACTGTCAAATTAGTATAGGGACCATACTAGATTACTTAAAAATACTGTACCAGTATAAATTTATACAGAAGTTGATACCCCTTCTGAGGTTACATAAGAGAATATACCTTTTTTTAGAAAATATGCACTGAAGTATTTAGGGGTAAAGAGCTATAATAAAAGCAACTTATATCCTCAGATGGTTTAGATGGCTGAATCCCACATTCAGCCACCTGATTATGGGATGTGTCTCTAGACCTAGACACATACACATATACTTACACATCCCCATACATGCTTATATACATATATACATATACATATATATGTACACATATACACACACCTACAAACATGGTGAACATCCATAAAATCCAATGGACTTTCTATATGAAGTGTGGCAAGAACCAACCTCAAAAGTGACACAGTACAGAAAGGGCCAGGGTTCTTTGTATGCTCAGGGAAAGCGGTGTTATGACAGGAAGCAGAGTGGCTATGGTGGACAGAAAGCCTGTTTTCCAGAAAAGGTAAAAACTACAAAGAAGATTGTGCTGAGGCTTGAATGTGTTGAGCCTAACTGAAGATCTAAGAGAACACTGACTATGAAGAGATGCAAGTATGGGATCAGCAAATGGCATAATGGTTATGTCGCTGGACTCCCACGTAGTCGACCGGAGTTCAAGTGCTGGACTTGGTGACTTAAAACTCATGCTGGGTATGTGTGTGTGCATGCCCAAGATCCCAAGAGGTGAATGGAGGAGAGGGGATTGTGGTGTGGCCATCCCCCTTGGGGGGTGCTTTCTCCCTTATTGTCTCTCCAGCAAGTGTGTGCGGCCTATAGCAAAAAGGGTCAAGTGATCCAGTTCTAAGTTTCCTCTTTCATTTTATTATGAAAACAATGAAATCTTCAGGTGAATGTTTGCCTCATTTAATTATAGTTTGTCTTTTTTGTGAGGGAATAGAATAAGCAATAAAATTCCCCTTGTGGTGAAATTTGATTCATAGATGGGACCAGCAAGTGGCATGGTTGTTGAGGCATTGGACGTTCCCCCATGGCCGACCACGGTTTGAGTTAAACCTGGTGGCTTGCTTTCTCACTTTCTCTCTCTGGTCAAATTAAAATAAATGAATGAATAAAATTAAGTAAATAAAAAAAAAAAAAAAAGAAACTTGATCCATGGTAAAAAAAAAAAAAAGAACTCAGAAAAACAAGAGAACAAAACAAACCAAAAAGAACAAAGAAAAAAAAAAGAAATAAAAACAACCAACAACAAAAAGAGGATGCAAGTCAAATGTCCCCATTGTCATATCAGAAGAGACCAGACCAGAGGGTTTTGGTAGCCCAGAGAAGGGAGCGAAGTGGGAAAGCAACAGCCCTTAAACTCAAGATCTTCTTTTAAAGATTTTTATAGGATGTGTGCATTCTTCAGAGAGAGAGAGGGAAGGTGAGAACTCACTCCTCAGGGGGAGGGGGTGGCCATGCTGCAATTCTTTCTCTTCTGTTCTCTGAGGATTTCAGGCATGTGTGCACATGTATCCGGCATGCTTTTTAAGCCTCTAGGTCTGGGACTTGAACCATGCTGTCGGTCTTATAGGATCCAGCCATCTTAACCTCTGTCCCCTGCTGGACCTGTTTTCAAGACATACACACACATATATACACAATAAATATATTATAGAAAAATGTGGTCTCTGAGATTTGGAACCCTGCAAACAGAGGGGGTGGCACCAGCAGGGTCCAGGAGACCAACATGAGGTAGAGGCAGAGAATTATGAGTAACTCGATTTGACAACAGTGTTGGGGAGTGGGAGACAAGAATCAGCAGAAGAGCACAGGATTGAAAACCTTAGGTGGTAATAGTCCTTAGCTGGATTGGATGTTAGGTATCTTTGGACCTTTTTGAGCAGAGAAGGCACGTGATCAGTATTGTGCTTTAGAAATACTAATCTGGAAGCCATGTGCCTGGTGAATTGGAATGGGAAGAAGCTAGAGCTGGGGACACAGATATGAGAGAGGAGTCCTGGGTCCACAAGACTAAGACAGAAGGTTAGTAAGCTTACAGCCAGTATGGGCAAATAGCGAGACCCTGAAAGAGCCAGATGTGGTGACCTGCACCTGCGGTCCAAGATGCTCGGGAGGCCAAGGCAGGATGATCACGACTCAGCAAGACCTCATACCGCACAAATATGTGCGTGCGCGCACACACACACACACACACACACTCCACATGCAGGCAACACACACATACATACCACTCACAAAAAAATTCAGTCCAGATAAAGAATATAGATTGAAAAGTCTCATTCCTCAGGGAGGGAGATTTTTACTCTACCTTTATGAACTTCTTAGATTTTTAACGTTTTGCCTAGTCAAAAAGACCAAATAAATTAATAGAAGGAAGGAAATAACAATTATTAGGAAAGCCATTATTGCGAAGTGGAATTTTAGATCCTGTGATTCTATAAGGAAGGGCTGGATTGTGTGTGAGGTTTAGGACAGATGGAGGACCAGCAGATGGCAGAATGGTTATGTCGCTGGACTCCCATGTAGTTGACCACAGTTTGAGTCCTGGACCTGGTGGCTTGAAACTCACACCAGGTGTATGCCCAAAATCCTGAGAGGAGAATGGAGGAGAAGGGATTGCCATGTGGCTGGTTTTTCTGAAGGGGGATTTCTTGCTTTCTGTCTCTGTCTCTCTCTGTGTCTCTGGCAAGCGCACGTGCCCTATAGCAAAAATATCTCTATAAAAGAAAAATTAGGACAGACGGAGCTGAGGTGAGTGCCAGTGCTTCTTTTTTTGTTAGTTTTTTCCCCCCCGTAGGGTGTGTTTGCTCACCAGAGAGATAATAAGAGAAAGTGAAAAAATCACTCCACCAGGAGATGGTCATGCCACAGTTCCTTCTCCTTTATTCTCTTCCTGGGATTTTGGGCATACACACACACATGCCTGACATGATATTCAAGCTACTAGGTCCAGGACTCGAACTGTGGTCAGCTATGTTAGAATCCAGCACCTTAATCACCATACCACCCACTGGTCCTACTAGAGCTTCTTTAAGACCTCTAGGGTTTGTATCTGAGGCCCAGGTAGTCTAGGGCTAGTGTGTGTCTGCCCTACCTGCTTTCCTCCAAAGTGCAGGCTCAGCTAAGTACTGGCTCAGTGTTCCCCCTGATTCTAATATGCCATTCTTGAATGTGGAATTAAACCTAAACATGGAACTAAACTATAACAACTGAATATAAACCTTCTGAGCACATTCTGTGAGCATGTATTACTGTGCAGTCTTTATACTGGTGGCATATATTTGTGGGATTTTATTTTTCTTGAGCCAGGTGATAGTGTGGTTGTTAAGGTGACTGGATCCACAAGGACAGACCAGGTGACTTAAAAAACACGCTGGTCATATGTATGTGCATGCCCAAAATACCAAGAGGAGAACAGAGGAGAAGGGACTGTGGTGTGACCAGTTCCCTGGGTGGGTGCTTTCTTTTGTTTTTAATCTTTTAAAGAATTATTTATTTATTTACTGAATTTAATTTGTTATTGTAATTATTTCTTTTATTTTAATTTTACTAGAGAGAGACAGAGACCAAGAAAGGGAAAGCAAGAAAGCAAGCTACCAGGTCCAGGACTTGAACTGCAATTGACCATGTGGGAATCCAGCACCCTTAACCACCATGCCACTTGCTGGTCCCAAGGGTGGGTGCTTTCTTACCCCTGCACTCAGCCCTGTCTCTCTCCAGCAAGTACACACCTTCTAAGGCAAAAGTTAAAAAAAAAAAAATCCCTCAGTAACTAAAGTAATTAATAACACTGTTTAGAACTTGGAAAATATAGGAAAGTACAAAAAAAAGTGCAGAAAAATCACTAATAATCTCACTTTTTTTTTTTTTTTTTTTGCGATAGGGCGTGTGCGCTCGCCAGACAGAGACAGAGAGCGAGAAATCACCCCCCAGGGGGGATGGCCATGCCGCAATCCTTTCTCCTCCATTCTCCTCTCGGGATCTTGGGCATGCATGCACACGCGCCTGGTGTGAGTTTTAAGCCACCGGGTCCGGGACACGAACCACGGTCGACTACGTGGGAGTCCAGCGACATAGCCATTATGCTAACTGCTGGTCCCACTAATACTCTCACTTTGAAGAGACAACTATTATTGTTACTGTTGAGATTTAAATGGTTCTATGGTTTTTTTTTTTTTTTTAAATAATTATTTTGTTTACCTTTATTTCTTTACTTATTTATTTTAATTTTGACCAGAGAGGTACAGAACGAGAGAGAGAGAGAAAGTGAGTGAAGAAGTAAGCCACCAGGCCCGAGACTCAAACCACAGTCAAAAGTAAGCCACCAGGCCCAAGACTCAAACCACAGTCAGCCATGTGGGAGTCCAGCTCCCTTAACCACCACTCTACTTGCTGGCCCCAGGGGTGGTGGTTTTTATTTGCTAGGGCTTTTAAAAAATTATTTATTTCATTTTATTTGTTATTATTATTTTTAAAATTTGACCAGAGAGGGGCAGAGAAAGAAAAAGTGAGAAAGTAAGCCACGAGGTCTGGGACTCGAACCATGGTCAGCCATGTGGGAGTCCAGCACCTTAACCACTGTGCCACCTGCCAACCCTGGATTTGCTGGCAGAGGAGAAGACTTTGACAAGATTTGCAGGTTGTGTGCATTTGCATGACTTTTCTGCTGTTGGTGGTGTCAAAGCCCATTTTGGATATGATAGGAAAAAGGCGCATTTAATTTCATTTCAAAAGGAGAACGACTCATTGTTCTTTAAGGGCTTGGGAGATCATAGAGTTTGTTTATCAAGACACTGAGACCTGGGTAGGGAGTAGGAAATCTTATTATTTTTTTTTAATAATTATTATCTTATTTAAGTTTATTTATGTTTTAATTTGACCAGAGAGAGGCAGAGAGAGAAAGAGAGAAGGTGAGAAAGCAAGCCACCAGGTCCAGGATTCAAACTGTGGTTGGCTATGTGGGAGTCCAGTGCCCTTAACCACCACGCCACCTGCCGGCCCCACGGGAGTAGGAAGTCTTGAAAAATACATTTTGTAGCACCCTTTTCTAGATAGATGCAGGAGTTGTTTTCTTTTTTTAAAGTAATTAGTATTTTTTATTAAAGAATGATTTTATTAAACTTTATTTTAATTTGAGGAGAGAGTGAATGAGACAGAGAGAGAGGGAGAGTGAGAAAGCAAGCCGCCAGGTCTGGCACTTGAACCGCAGTCGGCCATGTGGGAATCCAGGTCCTTAACCACCACGCCACCAGCCAGTCCCTAGATGCATGAGTTTTGCCAAGAGGTCAGAGCGATAACTTTTAGAATTCCTCAAACTCTGATCCCTGATACTGTGGGTATGGATGCTGCTGCCCTCCTACTTGGTTAGAAATGTTGATTGCCAGTGGACCTGAGTGTTGGTTGCCATACTACATTGCCATATAATGGGAGGTGCTGACTGTAAGAAGACCCTCTGTGTGTTTCTCCTTAGGGAGGAATGGGAGCTGCTTTGCTGTCAGACCCCGACAAAATCGAGAAGGTAAGTCTTGCATGGGTGAAAGCAGGGATCTTTAAACATGACTTTGAACTAGAGTTGCCTAGAATCCCTTCCTCCTGCTTCTCCAGATTTGTTGGAATCTACCCAGTTTGTCTATCTAGGACCTAGAAAGATTTTAAAAAGCTTCCCAGTGATTTTGACATGCAACTAGGTTTGTGTCCCTGAGTCACCCTTCAGTAGCCTTGTTGTTCCTTGAACACCCAGAGCCAGAGATATGTCAACAGAGCCAGAGGTGCTGAGGATTCAGCGAGAACCCCTTCTGTATTGGTTCTCTCTCTCTGGGCTGATCAGGAGAGCAATGGCAAGGCTACCTCTGGTAAGGACAGACTCAGTGGTTATTTTGGGGGTGTGGCCATGAGGGATGGATTGGCCTCTTTCAGGGGGTTGACAAGAACAGCACTGGGTTCATGCATACTGTGAGAGTCCACTACCAGCTCCTTGAGAGCAGCCAGGCCAGGGTCCTGTGAGGCAAGCTGAAGTTAATCTCCCCGTTTCCCCTTCCCTTGATGATTCCACAGGCTTAATGAGGCCCTGGGGGGCAAGTTGGCATTTGCCACCCATTATTATGTGTGACATATGGGGCTGATATTTTCTGCTACACCATGAACCTTTTGTTTTCTTCTTTATGCCAGCAGCTCTCTCCCTGATGCTCCTCTTAACTCCTTTGTGCTCCTTGTCATTCTCTATCCCAGTTTTCCTATCTGGAATGTATGCTCGATAGTGCCTCCGACAGGCCAGAGTGACTTTGGCCTCAGGCACCGAGTAAGAGCTGCCATCAACGGCAATAAGAGCTGCCCATCTTCTGTGCTGGCTGCAGTGTCAGCAACTCTGCCCGGTGTATTCCCAGTCCAGCTGTCCCAGGGATATAGGAAGACCATCATGTTTGTTCACTAGGCAGGCACCTCATTTTTCACTCGTATGGTCATTTATGATGTATCCTTATCATTTACAAGGTAGTTTTTTTTTTTTTTTTTTTTAAGAATTTAATTAATTAATTTAAAAATTTTTCCAGAGAGAGACACACACATACACACACACACACACACACACACACACACACACAGAGTAAGCCACCAGGTCTGAGAATCAAACCATGGTTGCTCATGTGGGAGTCCAGTATTAACCACCATGATACCTGTCGAACCCTTTTTTTTTTTTTAAAGTTTATTTCTTTTATGGGACCAGCAGTTGGGGTAATGGCTATGTTGCTCAACTCCCATGTAGTTGACCATGGTTTGAGACCTGGACCCAGTGGTTTAAACTCAAGCCAGGCATGTGTGCGTGCATGCCCAAGATCATGAGAGGAGAGTGGAGAAGAAGGGATTGCAGCGTAGCCATCCCCCCCAGGGGTGATTTCTTGCTTTCTGTCTCTCTGTTTCTCTCTGTTTTTTTGGTGAGCGCATGCTCCCTATGGCAAAAACCTCTCCAAAAAGAAAAGGTTTATTACTTCTATGAGTGAGAAACAGAGAGGTAGAGAGACTGCACTTGCAACAGGATGCCATGACCTATTTCAGCTTTAGCCAACCCTGGATCATAGGCATGTGCGTAACTGGCATATTCAGGGAGGTCTCTGGACAAGCACCTGGAATTTTCTCACATGAGTCAGCCTTTGCGGGGTGTGTTTGTTTGTTTGTTTGTTTGTTTGTTTTTATATCTGCCATAGGTTGCATGTGCTCGCTGGAGAGAGACAGACACAGTCAGAGAGAGGGAAAGTGAGAAATCAAACATTCCCCCCCGCCCAGGGGGGATGGCCATACTACTATCCCTTCTCCTTCATTCTTCTCAGGATTTTGGGCTCGCACACACACGCACCTGGTGTGAAAATGGCAATTGAAACCAGCATCATAGCCACAGTCTGTAAGTGTCTAGCCTCCTTTTGATAGGCCCAGATACGTCAGTGCAGGGTGGAGCGGAAGCAGACAACTGCACAGATACGTCTGTGCAGAGTGGAGTGGAAGCAGACAATTTGATGTCAAATTGGTTGCCACACTGAGGAGAGGGTTCCCCAGGAAGGGGTCTGTGGCTCACTCACAGCATTTTGCACACAGGCATTTTGTTATCCTCCATCCTCCTGGCTTTTGTCAGAACTATGTTGTTGGCTGTGTCCTCTCTCTGCCTCTCTTTGAATGAGTCACATTTCATCTGTGAGGCAGCAGAGACATACTCTACCTCAGAAGGTTAGTTCATTCCACTGCTTCTATGGTGGGATAATTAAATGGGTCATGTCAGTCCCGTAGATGGATTTGCTTTATGGAGGGGCACGTGTAGGCTTTTCTAAATAGCTAGATGTGACTTAGGCCTTGGGAGTTAGATTTGATTCAGGCCCAGAATGTGCTGGCAAGCTGAATAACTGAGCGAAAGCTTTGTGAGTCCTTCCAGGCTTGGTATTTTAGGCCCATGGTTCCATCTGTGGGAGGATCTCAGATCTGCAAATATTTTCTCAAGATAAAGGTGCTTATTTAGGGTCATGATAAACTTTAGACATACATAGATGGTTACACAACATGTGTACTTATGAATGTAATTCATGCCACTGATTTATATACTTAAAAATGTTTAAGGGACTAGCAGTTAGAGTAATGGCTATATCGTTGGACTCCCATATATCCGACTGTGGTTCGAGTCCCGGACCTGGTGGCTTAAAACTCACGCTGGGTGCATGTGCGTGCATACCCAAGATCCCAAGAGGAGGATGGAGGAGAAGGGATTGTGGTGTGGCCATCCCCCCTGAGGGGGCGATTTCTCGCTTTCTGTCTCTCTGTCTCTCTATCTGTCTCCTTGGTGAGTGCATGAGCCCTGTAGCAAAAACCTTTCCAAAAAAAAAAAATCTTAAAAAATAAAAAACGTTTAAGATGGCAGATTTCATGTTACGTATATTTGTACCTCAGTTAAAGAAAAAGAGAATGCTGAGGCCAGCTGGTGGCATGGTGGTTAAGGTGCTGGACTTCTACATGGCTGAATGCAGGATGAGTCCTGGAGCTGGTGGCATGAAAATCATGTTGTGTGTGTGTGTCTGTGTGTGCATGCTCAAAATCCCAAGAGGGAAATGGAGGAGAAGGGATTGTAGTGTGGCCATCCTCCCTGGCTTTTTTTTTTTTTTTTTCTTACATTCCCTCTTTCTGTCTTCCCAGTGGCAAAAACCTAAAAAACAACAAAAAGAATGCTATTTGTTGAAAATTCTGTTTATCCTTGGGTATTAGTCTTTTGATGATGCTTTCACAAGGTAGCTCTGGTTTATTCTCCCTAGATTAGGAACCTCAGTTTCTTTTATTTAATTAATTGTTGTTGTTGTTGTTATTTTTTTATTGCCAGAGAGTATGTGCACTTGCCAGAGAGAAAACAACAACAGTAGCAACAACAACAACAACCAAAACATGAAACAGTCACTTTTCCTCCATTTCTCTATCCCATCAGTATTTGGGGCACATATGTATACATGCCCAGATAGTTTGTCAAGTCTTCAGGGCTGGGATTTGAACCATGGTTAGATATGTGGAATATAGCTCTGTATGCACAGCACTTAACCACTATGCTACAGGGCTGGCTCTGTAACAAATAATATCTTCTCTGTCAAAAAGTATCTTCTCTGTCATCCCTGCACAAAATTCCCTGTACATCTGCTGACTGACCAGAGTATCACCATATGCATGCTATACTTGGGCTTTAACTAATAATTGGTAGGGTCAGGATTTGAACTCAGATCCCATTGATTTTTTTTTTAGAGGTTTTTGCTATAGGGCGCGTGCGCTCGCTAGACAGACAGAGAGAGACAGAGAGATAGAAAGCGAGAAATCACCCCCCAGGGGGGGTGGCCACACCGCAATCCCTTCTCCTCCATTCTCCTCTCGGGATCTTGGGCACACACGCATACACGCCCGGTGTGAGTTTTAAGCCACCGGGTCCGGGACACAAACCACGGTCGACTACGTGGGAGTCCAGCGACATAGCCATTATGCTAACTGCTGGTCCCCAGATCCCATTGATTCTTACACCTGTGTTTCTCATTGTCCCATCTACACTGTCCCAAATAACCAGGGCAGCTAAAGGTTCTGCTTTTCCTGAGTTGGACAGTAGATCTGGTGAGACAAGCCTGCATGTGGGTAGATCTGTCAGAAACATGTGGCACGACTTGGATCTGGAGAGTTAGGTGTCTAGGAGAGTTCCATACCAGAGCCTGGTAGGAGAGTCTCAAGCTGCCCTTTCCTTTCATTGTGACCCTTGCAAGTGGCTAGAGCTTTTTTTTTTTTTTTTTTGAGTGGTTTTTGCTACAGGGCACGTGTGCTCGCCAGACAGACAGAGAGACAGAAAGCGAGAAATCACCCCCCGGGGGGGATGGCCACGCCGCAATCCCTTCTCCTCCATTCTCCTCTCAGGATCTTGGGCACACACGCACACACGCCCTGCGTGAGTTTAAGCCACCAGGTCCGGGACTCGAACCGCGGTCGACTATGTGGGAGTCCAGCGACATAGCCATTACACTAACTGCTGGCCCTGTGGCTAGAGCTTTTATTGCTTAATTTCCTTCCTGGTCCTTAACACACACATGAAATGAACAGGCATACTGAAGAAAGTTCTTGAAGCTACTTGGATAAAATACACCAAAAGGAACTTTTTCAAGACAGAAAATTGGATCAGACCAGCTGACATTGTCTAAATAACCAAGTAGCAGAGGATTCTGTGTGAGCGTTTGCTCACCTTGCAGAGATACTGCTAAGAGCCTGAAAAATAGGACTGGAGTGAGAATTTTTATTATGTGTCTTTTATTTTGTGTTTCTTAAGTGAGAGTTGTTACTGCATCCACCTACCCCTTAAAGGGTCATTGTCCCTTTAAGGCCTTCCAGGGTTAGTCTAACACCTCCTAGGGCAGCACTAATTCCTGGCAGGTCTTTGTGGACCAGAAGGCCCTGTTTTGCCCTTGAACTATCTACTTATCTGAGTCTGTCCTCTTGGTCTGATGTCTTCTGGAGTGGCCTACTCAGCCTGTCCATGAGAGAGGGGCTTCCTCTACTAGTTTTTTCAGTTCGACTCTCTGCTGCCCTGGCCTATCTAGAATCAATCCTGGCAGCTACCACCTGGGTCTCTCCTTTGGTCTGCTGGACAGAGATCCAGTTCTTGGAAGAGGGCTCTGGGGATCATTTTCCCTCTAGCTTGCCTGGCTTGAAATTTTTGATGAGAGAAGAAAATAGCCATGCCAGAGATCTGCAGTGTCATCTACACCTCTCTTGATCTTTGATTCTTGTGCGGTCAGCTCTTACTAACTCCCTGACACTTTGCTGTATGACTTCTTGGTCTTTCCTTCAAATCCTTTGTAATTTTTGCTATGAAACAAGCACTTTTTAATATGTTGAGTATGTTATGGTTTCCTTTGCCAGTTTCACTCCTGTGTATCTGACTCCCCTGAGATGCATGAGGACAGGCCCTGGCCCTTTAAGGCCTTCTGTGCCTTTACTCAGCAGGTCCTGGGTCAGCACTGAGGGACATCCCCTACACCTAGAAAAGAAGCTTTCAGCCTTGTTTTCTCAACCAGGGCTAGGCCTCAGAGTCACACTGAGGTTGGATCGTGTTGGTCAGAGCTTTTTGAAAACACATTCCTAAGCCTGCTTCTAAAAACTCATTCAGTAAATATGGAGTGGAATCTTAAGAGTGAGCCAACCTACCTACTTACCTTCCTTCCTTCCTTTCTCTCTCCTCCCTCTTTCTCTTTCTTTTCTTAAGATTTTTGCCATAGGACTGGCAGGTGGTGTGGTGGTTAAAGATGCTGGATTCCCATGGGGTAGACTACAGTTCGAGTCCCAGACCTGGTGGCTTGCTTTTTTGCTTTCCTTTTTTCTCTCTCTGTCTCTTTCTGGTCAAATTAAAAAATAGTAATAACAAATGGAATTAATACATAATTCTTAAAAAAAAAAAAAAAAGGCCTAGCAGGGGGTGTGGTGGTTAAGCCTCTGGACACTTTGTTGTCAACCATAGTTCGAGTCCTGGACCTGGTGGCTTGCTTTCTCTCTCTTTTTCTGTGTCTCTCTCTGGTCAAATTAAAATAAATGAATAAATAAAATTAAACAAATAGTCCTTTAAAAATAAGATTTTTGCCATAGGGCATGAGTGCTTGATAGAGATAGAGAGAGAAGGAAAGTGAGAAATCACTCCCCAGGGAATTGGCCACACTATAGACCCTTCTCTTCCATTCTCCCCTAGGGGTTTCAGGCATGCATGTACACGTGCCGGTATGTTTTTAAGCCACCAGGTCTGAGGCTTGGTCTATGGAGTCAGTCATGTAGGATCCGGTACCTTAACCACCATTCCACTGCTGGCTCTCTCTCTTTCTTTTTTTTCAACAGGGTCTTGCTCTATCACAATCCTTCTGCTTCAGTGTCCTAAGTAGCTAGTAGTACACGCCACTGTGCCTGGCATTTTAGGGTAGGCTGGGAATTGAACTTGAACTTCCTAAGTGGCCTCAGCCTACCAACTAGCAGTGTTCCAGTGTATGCTACCATGGCTGGGCCCACGAGTCTGTATTTCTTAAGCTCTTCTGGTGGTTCTCATGTTGTCCTGGTAAAGGATTGCTGTGTTACAAATAGACATGCATACAGATTGACTCACTCAGTCATTCAGTATATTGAACTAATACACACACACATACACATACACACACACACACACACACACACACACACACAAACCTCTATGTGACTATGTGCTAGGCAGGCATTGCTGATGCTGGAGTTCTAGAGTAGAACAAAGGCAGACTCCTTACCTGATGGTACTTGTGCATATATCCCTGCAACAGATAATATGCACTAGCCGCCCATGCCACTGGAACGCACAGTTCTGTGGTGTTATATAGCACAAGTAGTGCGATTTGCTACAGAAGGGTAGGCATTCTTGTGTTCTTCTCTCTGCAGATTCTCAGCACTCTTGTTAAAGGAACACGCAGACCTGTGACCTGCAAGATTCGCATCCTGTCATCGGTAAGGATGATGTGGTACATTTGGAGGTCCATTCTCTCGGTGTTGTTGGATTTGGGGGTGTGAATGATTCTTGAGGAATTGAATTAGGTTTGGAAGCAGGGGTAGAGGTGAGCCCACTGCGGGGCTTCAATAACTACCCCATACGATCTTGTTTCTCAGCTGGAAGATACCCTGAGCCTTGTGAAGCGGATAGAGAGCACTGGCATTGCCGCCATCACAGTTCATGGGAGGTGAGTGGTCACTGTTGTAATGACTGACTGGCAAGGAGGGCCTCAGCCATCTCAACGATCCTTCACCAGACCCCAGATGACAGCCATCTTCTCTTCTACATATGTAGCCTACCTCTGCCTAGCTCTTCATCCTATGAGTGTGGGGTCAATCAGACACTGAATGAGGTTGCATTTTCCTTCTTTGCTTTCACTGAGCACGTGGTAGGCACTGTGCCTAGCTTCAGAGACACAGAGGGACTAAGTGGAGAGTCAAATGCCCCTGCCCTCAAGGATGTGTAATGGTAGTGATGGAGTGATTTGCTCAAAATTGTACCATGTGGCCAGTAATGGTGGAATTAAAGAACTACTGAATCTCCTTTTTTTTCCCCACACCATTGAGCAATGGCTTCTCCTTTGATTAACACCAGGCAGGTTGCTGTCTTTTAGTCTCTGCCTCTTTTGTCTGCCCTTGTCGGATTGCCAGCTATCATGATGACTGCTCAAAATGGTCCTTCTATCTGTAGCTAATGTGCTGTCTGCTGAGCACTGAGGTGTTTCTGAAGGCCACGCTGGGTGTTCCCCAGTGAGACTTCTCTCTGTGTCCAGAATGTCCTTTTGTACAGAAGCCCAGGTTGTAGACTGGTAGGTATGGCCTTTTTTCTCCGAGTGATTTTTCTCTTGGGCTTAGGGGGCTTGTAGGAACAGCCCAGATTGTTGGTTGTATCTATTGTAGCATTTTTAGTGAAGGGAAACCGGAACTGTAACATAAAACAGAGAAAAGGCAAACTGCTTGGGGTTGAAGGAAGGAGGGGGAGGTGAGAACCCACACACATATACACATATGCTCCTTCCTGATGTAGTAGGCTTTTGGATTCCAACTGGGATTTAATTTTAAATTTCCCTCTCTGGTTAACTTAAAATAAGTAAATAAATAAAGTTTTAAAAAAAATCCCACCTCTGCTGCTTATTAGCTGTGCATGTTGGACTAATCACTAAATCTCTCTGTGCATCATATTCCTTATTTAGAAATGAAGATAATTCTGCCTTATAGAGTTGTGAGGCTTTTGTGACTTCGTGACTATAAATCCTTGGCACAGTGCCAGTAGTTTATTATTATCTTAAAAGAAGCGGTTGCTTTGATCAGTAGTTGGGACCAGTAGGAAGTGAGATTTGGGCAAGTTTAAGGAAGGATTTTCTGGCTATCAGAGGTGTTGAGGATGGGCTAAAACTGGCCTCTTGGGACAGTGGGAGGTAGAGGCGGAAGCTGGGTTGACAGAGCCTTCGGAAGCCCTGAAGCTCTTGACCTTTTGCTGAGGAGTATAGCAGAGGGGGTACCTCAGGTAAGACCTGAACAAGGGCCATCTGGCTGGTCACCTTTCCTGTTTGTGTCTGAGCACAGTTCAGGTCAGGCCTTTAATCAGCACCCCTAAGACTTGCTTACTCATCCACAAGAACTTGCAGTTGACCTTAGAAGGAGAGGCCCCCGTTTATGTCCTGCCTCCCCTGTGGCTTGCTGTGACAGCCATGGTCTGTGGCCTGCCCTGGTTGCCCTGAGTGCAGGGCCTACCCTGCGTCAGGTGCTGCTCTCCAGGATCAGCTGTGCAACTTGGCCTCGGTCTAGGCAGCTGTGTGGGAGTGGTCAGTCTGAGAGAGGCAGCTGCTCCGAGTCTCTTGGGGAGGGCAGGAGTAGGACAGTAATGGCAGCTTCCTATGGCATTATTCTTTATCTCAGGCAGCAGCCAGGAGAAGCCAGGGAAAAGCAGCGTGACCTTGGGAGCCAGGACACTCACCTTGGCCCCTGCAGGCATGCCTCATCTGCAGGCTTGCCAGAGGTGGACTTGCCTTCTCAGCATGGACCTATGCTGTTCCTGCCCCTCAAGACAGCTCATCCCCAAACAACAGGGAGCACCATGCCCTGGAGCCTGTCCTTGAGGGCCACATAGCTGCTGACCTTCCTGAGGTCCTATAGGAAGGACAGTCAAATTTGATGAAGGTAAACCTGAGTGAATGGTGCCATGGCTTTTGGCATTCAGCCCTTAGCTTCTTTTCTTTATCTCCAAGGAAGCGGGAGGAGAGACCTCAGCACCCTGTCAGCTGTGAAGTCATCAAAGCTATTGCTGAAACCCTCTCCATTCCTGTCATAGCCAAGTAAGCCTCCCTCCATCATTTACCTTAAAAAAATTTTTTTTTCAGTTTTGCTATAGTGTGCATGAGCCTATCAGAGAGAGATAAGGGTGGGAAGAGAGAAAGTGAGAAATCACGTCACATGGCCAAAGGCCACATCACAATCCTTTCTTATTCTCCTCTCAGGATTTTGGGTATGCATGCACATGCCCCTGGTGTGTCTTTCAAGCTACTGGATCTGGGACTCAAACCATGCTGTTGGCCATGTGGGATCAAGCTGTCTTAACTGCTACGCCACCTGCTGGCCCCATCATTTGCTTATTTATGCCTGACCTCATCCAGAAGGGATTTGAGCCCACATACACAAAATAGAATAAGATACTATTAAAAGATAACCACAAAGGAGGGACCAGCAGTTGGCATAATGGCTATGTCACTGGACTCCCATGTGGTTGACCTCTGTTCGAGTCCCAGACCTGATGGCTTAAACTCACACTGGGCGTGTGTGTGTGCGTGTGTGCTCAAGATCCTGAGAGGAGAATAGAGGAGAAGGGACTGCGGTGTGGCCATCCCCCCAGGGGATGATTTCTTGCTTTCTGTCTCTGTGTCTTTCTGGCTAGTGCATGTGCCCTATAGCAAAAGCCTCTCAAAAAATAAAGATGACCACAGGGGAAAAAAAAGGAGGTTGGGATGGAAAATGAAGTGGGAAATGAGACCAAAAAGTACCTCTCATGAAGGTCAGGTTCATTGGCCTCTGGTGAGCAGTTGACATAGATGTGCAGTAGACTGGGGCCTAGAGCATTCTGATGGACTGAGTAGGGATGGGAGTATCCAGGGACTGGGAGAATGAGAAGCGGGCCACTGATATAGACCTGGAAGAGGTGATGTCACATCCAGAATTAGGTGTGCAGGACTCGGAACTGTATGAAAAGTTTCATGTCAGCACTATGGCTCAGGAGGCATAAGATAGGTCCCAGAAGCCTGGATAAGCATTCTGGCCAGCTACAGGATCAGGAACCTAGACTGGCAGGTGTGTGGTGCTGATAACCAGCCCAAAGGCTTAGTAATAGCATCTACTTGCCACTGAGGAGTTAGATTGTGCAGGCCAGCTCGGAGTCCAGCTGCCTTCTCTTTAGGACACACAGAGCCTAAGGGGGCCTAAGGGAACAGGGGAACTTTGGTGACAAAAGGCATACATGACTGGTGAGGGGGAGGAGTTAAGGGCAGCTGTGGTAGCCAGGCCCCACCTTTCTTAGGGCAAGAAGTTTTAGGGGTGACTTGGAGATAGCAGGGCTATTCAGAGCCCTCCTTTCTCCCTTTCATGACAACCTGTGTGTCTGTTCCCCTTTCCAGGGTTCAACCCAGCCCTTAGTGGGCATATAGGTAGTGCCCCTAGCCTGGGGTTTTTCATGTGGTCCATGTTATAGATGTATGTCTAAAGACATGATCTGGCTTTAGCCAGTATTTTGAATGAGAAAAAAGGAAGGTAAAATTGGTACAGTACCAGGCCAGCTGGTGGTTGTGTGGTTAGGATAATGGATCATACAAGGCTGATTGTATGGTTCAAGGCCTAGACTTTGAAAAACATGTTGGGCATGTGTATGTGCATTCCTCAAATCCTGACAGGAGTTAGAAACTGAGAAGGGATTGTGGTATGACTGTGTCCCATTGGGAGTTTTTTTTCTCATTTTCTCTCTCTCCAGCAAGCAGCAAGCACATATACCCTCTGCAAAAAAAAAAAAAAAAAGAAAGAAAAAAATAAACCAAAAAACCTGGCATACCTATTAAGGTCAGGTATGATTTGGGCTACTTTTTAAAAAATATGATTTCATTTATTTTTAAGTTTGCTACATGGTATGTGTGCTTGCTAGAGTGTGAGTGAGCGAGCATCCCCACGTGTGAATGGCCATGCCTCATTCTCTTCTCTATTCTCCTGTTAGGATTTTGGGCATGCCTGCACACATGATTGGTGTATTTCTCAAGCCATAGGGTTCAGGGCTGAATCATGTGGTCAGCCATGTGGGATCCAGCTGCCTTAACTACCATGCTAATAGGCCCTGATTTGGGGCTACTTTACATATTTTATCTCATTTAGTGTTTCTAGCTTCACAATTGGGTGTGGGTGTAATATCTACCATACTGAAGCTCTGACAACTGAAGAGACTTGTCCAAAGCCACATTGTTAATGAGGGACAGATCTGAGAATAAGCTTTTTCTGAAAATATTGATAGGCTCCATGATGGGGGCAGCCCTAACCATTACGTTGCTTTTCAGTGGGGGATCTCACGACCACATCCAACAGTATACGGACATAGAGGACTTTCGACAAGCCACAGCAGCCTCTTCAGTGATGCTAGCCCGGGCAGCCATGTGGAACCCATCTATCTTTCTCAAGGAGGGTCTACAGCCCTTGGAGGAAGTCATGCAAAAGTATATCAGATACGTACGTCTCTGCACTTTTTCTTTCTTTTTAAACTGTCTTTCTTTTTTTGGCCATAGGGAACATGCATTTGTCAGAGAGAGAGGGAAAGTGAAAAATCACCTCCCTGGAGGGGATGGCCATGCTGCAATCCCTTCTTCTTCATTTTTCTCTCAGTATTTTGGACATGCATGCACATGTACCTGGTGTGTTGTTCAAGCCACCAAGTCCAGGACTTAAACCATGGAGTCAGCCCTGTGGGATCCAGCACCTTAACTACCAGGCTATCTGTTGGCCTACAATTTTTCAAAATGACTATTTCTCAAAGTCTGCCATATTCCTGCAGAAAGCACTTTATGTGAGCCCCCAGTTGCCAGTGACCCTATTTTTTTCTCTCCTTTTCTTGTGGCTTCTGTAGTGTAGCTGTAGGTTCTCTACAGCTGCAGTAGAAAGAGAGGATGCTGAGTGTGTGTGCCCTTATAGTCTCCTTTAAAAGCTTCTAGAGGGTTCAAAGGCAAGGGCCTCCTGGATCCAAGATGCTGTTGAGGCTCCAAATACACGATGTCTTTCTCTTTTTCTCTCACACCCACACATACATCTACACTTTTGTGTGGATCATGGTTTCTGTGCCACTGAAGACAGGCTTGCCTATAGGTTGTTATAGGACCAGCCACAGCCAGAGGATCCATGTAGCTGCTATTGTTGGGGACACATTACCTCCATAGAAACATGTCATCTGATTTGACTCATCAATCAAAATCACTTTTGAAATTTTTCTATTACTAATTCCCAGAACATTTGAACCCATGAGTTAGGGAATAGCCTAATTTAACCTTCTCCTTACGGGATAGCTTTCTCTTCCTTTCTTTTTTTTTGAGAGTTTTATTATTATTATTATTATTATAGGGTGTGTGCGCTTGCCAGAAAGACAGAGAGAGACAAAGAGACAGAAAGCGAGAAATCATCTTCCAGGGAGGATGGCCATGCCACAATCCCTTCTCCTCCATTCTCAACTCAGTATCTTGGGCACACATGCACGACATGCCTGGTGTGAGTTTAAGCCATCTGGTCCAGGACTCGAACCATGGTCGACTACATGGGAGTCCAGCAACATAGCCATTATGCCAATTGGTGTCCCAAGTTACGGGGTGGGGGGGAGATAGCTTTTTTCTAAACAGCTTCTTTTCATGGGGAGATTGATGGTAGTGCCAAGGGCATTTTCCCATAAAGGATATGATGAGTTTATCTGCCCTGCTTCTTTGGCACAGCTCTGGAATTCTGTAATCAGCTGTGCATGTCTACAGGCAGAGACAGTGAGCGATTCTCAAATTCTCCAGTGAAATGGGCCGTAGTAGAGGGTGCAGTGCTTGTCCAGAGCTGACTCTACCTTCCTCTTCAGTCCTAGGGTTGATATCCACCTGAAACTGCCTGTGCTCTCTCCAAGCCATGGCCATGCCTGGGTAATTGTGATGGCCATGGTGTGTGCATGTCCCCATAGCTGTGTGAGCTGGGGATGGTGGGAGGGCCTGAGGCCTAGGCTTAGAGCCTGGGAGTCTTTGTTTTCCTGCTTAATGCTGCAGCCCTCATCTGGTCCTCACCTTAGTTCTGGATGTCCTGTTGAGCAGGTTGCTGACCACTAGCTCTCCAATGTTCGAAGTCAGCTGGAGGCAAGGGGGGGCTCTGCTTCAGCCCAGGTCAGCTGTCCAGCTTTTTTGGCCAGCTGGCCAGTCTGGCAGAGATGACATGTTCAGTAGTGCCAAGCTTGCTCACTGGGTGAAAGGTGATGTTATCCTTCCTGCTCAGCCCATCCCTTGGCAGCCTCTTGAGAGGCTCTGTGTTGTCACAGAGAAAGGGAGTGGCTTTCAAGTACAGACAGCACTGCTCTGGACCAGCCAGGTGTCTCCTGTCCCAAACAAGCCAAATCGAGGCCTTGGCTGTGGCTGGGGCTCACCTGTGTCTAATCTGCTTTGTCCTGAGTGAGTGTGGCACCTTCCCAGGTGCTGAAGACAGGCCCAGATGAAACGCTGGAATGGGTCAGGGAGGGATTTCTGTAGGGCTGGCCAGGCAGCCTTCACCCACTGCTGTTCTCCTGCTCTGGCCCCACCCAGGCAGACTTCTTCTGGATATGCTGGGCATCATCTTGCCTCCCTGAGGCTTCATTTCCTAGCTTGTGGAGTGTGGTGACACCACTTCACACTTGTCTAGGCAGTTAATTGACAAGTAACATGTGCAAAGATGCTTGGTCAGTGGTTCTGTACTTTGCCCATGTAGGAGGGAAGCTGGAGAGAAGCTGGAGAGTAGGGAAGGTGCCCATCCTGGTTATAAGAAAGAGAAAAGGAGAGATGCAGGTGGTCGGGGACACCTTTAGAACCTCTCACCCCTCTCCTGGGGCTGAATCCACTATACCAAAGCATGGCGTATTCCCTCATCCCCCCAGGAAAATGCTGGCCAGTATGTCTTCTGTGGTAGCTGATGGTGGCTGAAATAAGAGATGAATCCCTTGTACTTTCCAGACAGGCTGCCCCGTGGAGTGTGCTCCTGACCATGTGTCTGGGCTGTGACCCTCAAGTGTTGTACCACTAGCTGGAGGAGTAGATGGCCAAGGTGGAGGTGGCTCTTATGGGGTCCCATTGCCTTCGAACCCCTTTCCCTGCCATAACATAGCTCAGGCCTCAGGGCCTGCCTGGGCAGCATGCGATTCTTTTCTCAGGCAGTGCAGTATGACAACCACTACACCAACACCAAGTACTGCTTGTGCCAGATGCTACGAGAACAGCTGGAGTCGCCTCAGGGAAGGCTGCTCCATGCTGCCCAGTCTTCCCGGGAAATTTGGTAAGAGGGCCAATGGGCTGTTCATCTGTCCTTGCAGATGTTGCCTAGGCTTGACCTTGAGCCCTAAACTGACTCTGCTCTGGGGCTAGGGACGTGGGTGTGTAGGATTGGGGTGGTGACAGCTTCGCCACACAGAAGGGGCTCCTCTCAAAGCTTTGACGCATTCCTTTCTGGACTGATCTCAGAAGCAGAGTTTTGGGATCTAGGGCACTGGTAGGATAGAGGAAAGCAAAAGATGAGCTTGGAATTTCCCGGGGAGGAAAGGGCTTTGGCACTAGTGGGCCTTTCCCACATGCCAGACGGGAGAGCTGGGGCTGTAGAATGGAGTCATCACCCTGCAGTCTGAGAGACCACCCCTTAGTCCTCTGGACCTGGTGTAGCTCCCGAGGTAGTTGACATCTGAGGCTCGTCACAGCCTGGCCAAGTCCCTGCTCCTATAGCTCTTTGTCTTTCTATTCACTTTGTACCTGCATATCCGTGCTCCTGCTGGGGCCTCTGCCTGGAAGCCTGTTTCTCCCTCACCATGGCTGTCTGTATCCTCCTTCCTCTAAAGAAGCCTTTCTGAACCACTCCTACCTTCTGGGGTCTGTCTTCCTGGGAATTCTCTAGTGTGCTTCTCTTTGGGAGAGAGGCTACAGGTGGTGGGCATGACCTTTAGAACCTTTTCCACCCAGCTTCCCTCACAGTGTCCATGCTCAAAGGTCCACACTCACTCTCCATCTTCCAGTCCAGGTTGATCTAGCCATGGGCAGGAGCACCTTCAGATGGCCAGGCCCTGGTGTGGTGTTTGGCACATGCATTGGGGGATCCTTGGGCTCTTCAGGGCCCTAGATGCTGGGTCCACTAAGGCACTTGGCCTGTTATGCTTCTCCCTCCACAGTGAGGCCTTTGGCCTGGGTGCCTTCTATGAGGAGACCACGCGGGAGCTGGATGCCCGGCGAGCCGAGCTCTCGGCCAGGATTCCAGAGGAGGCAGGGGAGCCAACTGAAGACACCTCCGGTGTCATTAAGATGGCTGTCAAGTTTGACCGGTAGGTCTGCAGCTTATCTCATCTTGGACAGGGGCAGTGCCTTGTGGTGTGACTGGCCCAGAAAACTGGCTGCTGGATGTGGTTAATGTCAAGGCTAGGGATCACAGGACTCCTTGCTTTGAACACCTGTTCTCAATTTTCAGCATCCCAAAGAAGGTACTTTCAGGGAAGACAGTTTCCGAATGCCCAGGCAGCAGTCTGGTGTGCATGTTGTTGTCCTGAGAGTGATGGAATTCTATTCTTTCCTGACCCACCCCTTCCCATCTCAGCGTTGGGGGACTTGTCTCCTGTTCTTGAAACTCCATGCTTTCCCCTGGCTTCAAGGAGCTGGCTGCTTGAATGGAGCTCCCAACAGTGGCAGGGCCCTAGCCCTCATTTTTCTGCAGCCCACACCCGCTGCCCCTCACCAGCCCTGCAGTGCCCTCTCTTGGCAGAAGCAGTCTCATGCTGATTACTACTTCGGATTGTGACCCAGCTTGTCCTCCGCTCTCTGGGACCTGAGCCTTTTTCCACTCCCTAGGCCCAGACCAGGAGCCGGTCTTGTCTAGCAAGGACTTGGAGGTGAGAGGACAGCTGTTGGGCAGTAATAAGCCAGGGAGAGCTCCCACTGGGAAATTGGGGCAAGGCCCCTGTCACTCTGTCACAGACTGACTCTGAAACAAGAGTCCATTGTGTTCTCTGAGAAGCAGATGATCCTGACTGCAGCCGATGTTATATGGCCACCTGTGTTCCCCACCTCCATGACTCCCTCCTGCTCTTGTTTTGAGAGGCAAACTGGACCTTCCTTCCTTCCTGGCAGCTGAAAGCTGGGGCACAGGCTGGAGCTCCAAGTGCTGGGAGGTCACTTTCCACTCTGCCCCTGTTTCTTAAGCCTGTTGAAGCCCATCTTCCCTTTAGGCAGAGGCCAGGCCCCAGCTGCTGGTAAAGTAGGAATGGGAGCCCAGGGATGTAGGTACAGGAACCTTAAGGGAGCAGCCTGGTGTCTCAGTTCCTTAAGTTCCTGTAGTTCCTATCAGAAATTGAGCAGGGCTCCTACATAGGGAGGGGGTGGTAATGGTGAGTGGGCCCTAATCGCCCCCCCCCACCATTTTTCCAGGAGAGCTTACTCACCCCAGATCACCCCCAAGATGTGCCTGCTGGAGTGGTGCCGGAGGGAGAAGTTGGCACAGCCTGTGTATGAAACGGTGAGTCCCTAGCTAAGACCTGCCCTGAAGTGTGCCACAGTGCTGGTGCTATCATCCTGCCACACCCACAGCTTAGCCCTTCCACTCACACCGCTTGGCTGGAGCCTGGCCTTGGACTCCACAGAGGTTGCTTGTGGCCTGTTCACTTTCTGATAGCCTCTTCCCTATGATAGTTCCACGTTGTCCATTTCTGACAGATCTGTCTTTGGATTAGGCCTCAGCCAATGGAACACAATTCTGTGCCCCAGACATGAGGCCCCTGGGGTAGAAACCCTGAGAGTCTTGCTTCACTTCCTTTGGTCCCCGTGGCCATGCATTGTTTAGGCTGCCCTGCCTCTTCTGCACTGGCCTTCTGGCCTCCAGGCTCATACTTTCTGGGCCTTACGTTCCTCTCTGCCATAATAACTTTTCCAAAATAACCCTAACATCTCTCTGCCTTGCTCAAGTCGCAGCTCTGCAGTGCCTATAGGATCAAGCCCCAGCACCTCAGCATAGGGCGCGGGACCCCTTCCCCCCACACACATGCCTTGCTGCTGTTTCAGGTCTCATCCACTCAGCCACATCACCGGGTCTGTCTGCCAGGTGTGCTTTCTCTGTTCCCATCCTTGTCCTCTCTCACCCTTTTGCCATCTGGTAAACTTCTGCTCATTTGTGGGGGAGAGAACTGGCCAACTAGATGTCAGGAGGAGGAGGCTGTGTCATCATGTGCAGCCATGGGCTCTGATGGCACTTGCTTAGGTCTGTGACAGAACTTCGGACTCACTCGATGTCATTGTGTATCTGCGTTTCTTCCCTGGAAGACACCCCAGGTACTACTGCTTGTGGGGAGCATGTAATGCGGACAGCCTTCATTTGACTTAGGTTGAAGTATGGTCCTTTGTCTGCCTTTGATTCAACCCCAACACGTGGGCCTCCAGGTCATTCCTCTGGCTCCCATGCAGTCATCCCTGTTTCCTTTGTTCTCCTTATGCCAGGTTCAGCGCCCCATAGATCGTCTGTTCTGCTCTGTTGTCACCGTGGCAGAACAAAAGTACCAGTCCACCTTGTGGTGAGTTTCCTCGTCAGAGGGTGTGAGGCTCGGGGTGGAGGACCTGAATCCAGCATTGATCTGGAGGGATTGGGTAGGTGGTATGCATGGACAGTGGTGTCTCTGGGTGGTGACCACTTAGTTTTGTCAGAATCTCTGCTAACATTTGTAGAGTGGGGCCTCCCTGCCTTTAATCCTGCAACCTGCCTATCTGCCTTATTGCCCTTTGCCTCATCTGCCCAGGAACAAGTCCAAGAAACTGGCAGAGCAGGCTGCAGCCATCGTCTGTCTGCGGAGCCATGGCCTCCCTGAGGGTCGACTGGGTGAGGAGAGCCCGTCCTTGCACAAGCGCAAGCGAGAGGCCCTTGACCAAGGCCCTGGGGGCCCCAGAACTCAGGAGCCAGCATCGCCTGGGGAGCTGTGCAAGAAACCTTTTATGGCCTTGGAAAGTGGTGAAGAGAGTCCTCTGGAAGGCTGGTGATTGTTGTCTCTGTCCTTGTCACACCCTCCATGGGCCTGGCTCTAAGGTGGCTGTGGTACCAGAACATGAACCCAGATGCCATTGGACAATTTGTTGGCTTTACCTGGTGACACCTAGAGGTCCTGGCCTGGGCCATCAGCCTAGTGCACAGGCCAATGGGTGCGAGGGTGGATCTGTCTCCCTTTGTAGGGCTGAGCTGCAGGGCCATGTTCTCACCCACCTCAGTATTTTCACTGAAAACAGGAGCTTTCCAGGTAGTGCTTCTCCGACCTGACATTGGTACAGTGCAATAAAGACACTCCCAGTACTCACCCATGGCTGGCTGCTTCAGCCTTGGGCATCTTCATATGTGGGCTCTTGTCCTTGCATAATTATTCTACCTCCACTCTCTATGCAGAGCTGGAGCTTCTTAAATCATGTCCCTTGCCCATCATTATGTGTCTGGTAGAGCCCAGTGTGGGTGGGTATCACCTTTCAGACCCATGAACCTGGGCTGAGCCAGGAAGACTGAAGAAACCCATTCTACTGATGTTAAACCTGAGGCACTGGGCATGTACTTGGTCACTTTCCTGATGAGAGATGATACAGAATCCAAGGGAAAGACTGGGGTACTTGGTGCCCCAATAAAGGACAGCCTAGTAGGTGAGAGGTGTTGACCCAACCCCTGTTTGAAGCCTGACAGCTGCTGGAGCTCAGACCTGGTGGCATGTTTGCTCTGGGCAGGGGGGCACTGGCGGGGGGCG